TATAAAAAAAACTAACAGCAATCCTGATGTAGTTGTGTACGTATATTATAAGAGTGGTAGGAACTTTTTTAACTCAAAGGATTATTTCTGGTTGTATTTTTACAATGAACTACTTTTCCTATTATAATACACTACTCTCGTCCACTTATTGCTACTCATTTATAACTCTGACTCTTCATTATCTTATTTTCTTGTTGCAGGACGTATATCTATCTACTTGGTTCCCAGTTGTACCAATATTTGTGTTTAAATGAAATAAAATAGGAAATAGATAACCCGAAATGAAGGTATACTACTAAGATGATTGAAATATCTTTCAGAACTATGGTGACAAAACATAATCAATTTTATTATTTAGGAAGATTATCATGTGTAGTTGTGTGAATTTGTTCAAACCAACTGCTGAGATGGGTGGTGTCCGAAATCTGGTACTAATATACATTGTGCTATACGCTAATCCTCCTACTGACCATTTCAGCGAGAACACAAAAGTGATGGAGAAAGTACATTAAGCTACCGAATAAAATGCACAAATGCTCGTTCATATATATACCACTCTAGTCCTAACAAAATTATTGATCTATTTCTCAGTCAATGAAATGCACTTGTCCTATAGGTCATTTCTTATTGCTATCGATTGATCTTCTCATTAGGCAAATTCTGGTTGTCTCTCCATAACATCGCAAACCTTCATGTAAGAAAGAAACAGCATCCAATTTGGGAGGATCAACTTCTTATTTTTGAATGGGGTCAATAATATGACTGATGAAATCTAGTTGTTTCTGTCTACTGAAAGCCTTCATTAGGTGGAGCAATGTATATCGATTTTGGATTCGCAAACACTAAACCATTATGAACAATACCAACGCATTACCATCAGTGCCTAATACGATAGTCATTGTTTCTAAGAGGTTGAATTAAACAATTTATTAATGTTACCGACTTGTTTAATCACATTTATTGACACTAACATGTGTGACTAATCAATATAAAAATAACCCATGAGGTATTCGCACCTAGAAATAATGGCAGCCTCTTTTCGTTAGTGTCGAATTCTAGTTATATCTATATTTAACAGATTAACTGAAAGTACAGAAGTATAATCATGAACAGTAGTCATGATATGGTTGTGTGAAGCTATCGAACAACTTGTAGTCAGAGTTTGAAAAACCGCTTATTGTTGTTACAATCAGTAAGGAACGTACATTATAGATTGAGAGCAAAGGTGGCACGATGAATTCACCAAAAGATGACAAATGGTGTGTGCTGCATATTCGTTTGATAAATGAACAGAAAAAAAAATCGAAAAGCATATATGAAACCGAGATTGCCATTTTGGACTCATGTCAACGACACCGGTGAAGAACTCTGTCAGTGTTGGGATAGAGGCGATAATATCGCTTTCACTTTGCAGAAGATTCGTTCGAAATGGATGGTGGCAACCAGTGGAATCCAGGACGCACATTTCACTATATATGTGAGTTCTCAGCTGTAAGTACATGGATTCCAGAATTCATGTTCAATCTCTGATTAGAATCCAATATAGTTCGTTTCGATCGACATTGTATTAACCACCTAAACTACTCAGACCAATTATCCGGTAGTTTGTGAAACATATCTACTTAAAATACTTGTAACACAATAGCGATTCTGAAGCAAGCCAAAGAGGATGCAAACATAGTACCTATCATACTCCTGGGTTGGTTTACGGTTCATTCTGTCAAGCCCTTTAACTAATTTAACTGACAACCGTGGTGTAGACTAGTAAAAGTTTGTATAACTTGTCATTTCATACACATAGTTCCCTTTATCATCATATGATGAGCAACTATGCTCGATCACATGTTACAGCCTACGCACAAATAGCTCTCTCTCTCCAGACTAAATGTTAAACTGCTTGAATCACTCGATTAATATATAAGCTTGGATCTTATTAGTTTATTCGATTTAGTATTGGTGTGGTCAGTTGTTCATCTATTCGTTCGCATTAGTATTTGGAGTTACCTAATAACGGTTAACCAGAACGAGTGATATAGAAAGCCTAAGGAATTATCTCGTAGCTAAACTATCACAAAGTGAACTGTAAGTTGCATTTGTTCAGATAAATTGAAGTTGTTATGATGAATAGCACTGCTTCTATGTAACTTAGATGTTTATCAGTGTCTTTTCTTTTTATCCTCTGAATGACATTATTAATATTTACTGAATAACTTTCGTCGTGTGAGACCACTTGTTAGTCTGTAGATCTTGGAGATGAAATTTCCCTACATATGCTTCGAGATTCCTTTAGATACTAACCTCTGTATTCTCGGTGTACACGTGCTACAGTTGAGTAGTAGTAGGCAGACAGAATTGTAGTTGACTAGAATAGGTCTATCTATCATGTGAGTTAATTTCTCAGAATAACACTTGTTTGCATATATGTGATTTGAATAAGTTTACAAGCGAAATAAAATTGTGTGATAAATGCTGATCAGAATAAATATGGTCAGCATGTTACAATTCATTGATCACTAGGTGGTGATCATTGTCATGTGTGTCGTGTCCTTATTTAGTGCAGATCGAATGCTATCGACCATGTTGCTATGTAGCCACCAGTCTAGGTGACTCGACACTGTGTGCACTATATATTGACATCAACATGTGGTAAGAGATAGAGAGAGATATGGAGAGAGCATATTGTAATTACAAATCAGAATTTACGTAATATGTAGAATAACATGAATTAAGTCAGACATAATAATAGAATTAGGGGGGTGGGTATTAATTTACGTAATTACGTAATTTTTATTCCATTATTTCCTCTCTCACTCTCTCACCCCGTGTTAACTATATTTATTCTGATCGTTAGTTATCACCCAATTTCATTTGGCTTATTAACTGATTCAAGTTAACAACTTCAAATTAGTCAGACCCAACAACAATTCTTAATTCACATAAGTAAGTTTATTTGTTGTCCGTAGAAATTCCGGTGTATGTTACAGGTGTTGCAATGTATTTAGCATTTAGGAAACAGGTATGTGAATTCCTTCCTTAGAGAATTTTATGGAAATAGTTGTGCTGAATTGTGTAGAATACATGAGTTGGTTAGTTGTTTAGCTGAAATATTTAAGACAACTAATAGTGTTTACAACCTCGGTTATTGTATTGGGAGTAGAGCGAACAATATAATATTTGTAATGTAAAAGATCCGGTCAATTGCGTATTGATGATACTCATTATTAAATGACAAGTCAGCTCATAAACAAATCGTGTGAGCTTGGTGTGTGATTTGTGATAGATAACTAGTTTGTAATCCATGAGAGAGGTAATATTGCTTTCCAATTAGGGAGGTTGTTGGAAGAGGATGTACCGAAAGATTTAGAAACTGTTGAATATACTGTTATACTGTAGCTGATTTCTACTTCAGTCTCGAGAGGAGAGTTATTGCTAATGGTTTTGAAAATTACTGAACGAGCTATGAGACATTGTGGTGTAAATGTAAGTAATTTTATTTGACTATTAACTATTACCAAGTAATTTGTGTATAGAATTAACTTTAAAGTGTAATGATGGTGAAGCATTAGAGTAAACACTTAGTTATCCGATAGTTAGTCACATATTTACCATGTTTGTAAAATATCTGTAGTTTAGGACTAGAATGGATCAATCGGTCTGTTACTGTCATATGTGCATTCTGTGCCGATTGCCTGAATATTGCAAGTCACAAGTATTGTTCTAAGCAGAAATGAGTAGTGGTAGTGGTGGTGACTATCAGTGAAATACAGGACGTCGGTCACGTTGTATTTGGGACTGATCTGCTTGATGTTTACGTACACTCCGTGACTGGAAGAAAATGGTGTTCGATCCAAACACTACTGCGTTGTCCACTTACCTACTGAGCGGAAACGCGATAAAGTTTGAAGTGGACGGTACCGGGTTGGAGTCCCAGAGTGGACGTCAACTTGGATGCAGATTCATTCAGCTAGGTAAACCTGAATAGAACTAAACGCGCCCCTTGAGGTCCACTGCTAGCCACTATTCATCTCTGCTTAGATTTCGAAATAATTTTGTCAATGCTTATTATATCGCTCAATTCGCCATTGTTTTGAAATTGATCATGAAAATTCTGTACGATAAGATTTCGCTTATATTCAGCAATATAAGTAGATCATATTTTGTTTATTTGTATATGGGTAAGGTAGTTTTACTTCTTTCATTGTTGAATCCGTGTGAGGATGAACTCGTTATATGAGATGTGAAAGTCGAAAGTAGACTTTGTATGGAAATATGACACTATTAGAAGAGATGAGTGTATAAACACTGAAGTATTCTAGCCCTTAATAATCATGAGATGTTTTGAATTGAATTGAATGACAAAAGTGGTAGTTGTATGGGAATCAGTTCCTTCAACAACTGAGTAGTGGATATACATGATGGTTTGGCTGGCATTGGCCTTTGTGAAATGGGATTATGAAGAATCATCAACAAGAGTAAGGGAAATAATATTTGCAGACTAATCCATTGGTTGGAAATCACTGGACTTCCAAAGAATGTTTAATACAAGCTAGACTAAGCGATGAGAAGATGATTAAGTGCCACGTAAAATTGGGAAGAAAATGAAGTATTGAAAGCAGAGTATAATTGGATGTTTCTGTTCGAGAAAAGAACTGAATGGTGTAGAAAACAATCAGTCATGAGTTATATGTTTGTGGATACTCGAAACTACTGAATATTGAAAAGTAGTAGTATAGTGTAGCGTGCCAGAAATGTATTCACCGATGTCATACAATTGAATTGGTAAGTATATCATTCTCAAATGGAATTGTTTTGTTGTGTCTTAACTTCTGTCATGTATCGTTGTCGATTAAGCATCGTATGAAATTCTTTCAAACTAGTTTTGTTTACTACAAGGTTCACTCTAGTGGTTTGATGTGATTCCATGTAATGGACTTCTGGACTGACTACCACCATATGTTAACCGTATTTAACTAGACAATGATTGTAACAAATACCCGATGTGGAGAAGTTCAGTACTAAAAAGCATGATTATGTAACTAAACTGATTTCGTTTACATATGAGAATACTCAGAATGTATGTTCGATTTTCTTAGTGATTTGATGGTAGATCTCAAATACATTGTTGGCTACTGAAGGATTTAAACTGTACATAGAAATAAAATGATTGTAACATGGAATGGTGGAGTAGAATTACTATTATTATTATTGTTCCAAGTTTTTAGTTGTGTTTTATTGACTGTGTTACATGGAGAATGAAAACTGTAATAGTAAAGACGAGGTATCTTGTGATGTTTACACAAATGAAAGTTGGTTTCAGCTCATTCAATTCATTGTATTGTAAAAATCCTGATCACTGAATTATCTATCAGGACGTTTTCAAGGAAAAATTGGCCTGGTCGTCGAGGCAGTCAAAACGGCAGTCGATAGTGTTTATCACCTGTTCGTTCAAGTCACTTGTAAGAAAAATATCGAAACGATAGCTGACTTACTGATAAATATATTTAAAGATCCCAAGTGCGCCAAATGAAGCCTTCTGAGCAACGACTCAACTGACCCCCGTGCTCTATCAAAAACTCAGTAAATGTAACCTGACCTGAACCGAAGTCAAGATGTGAAAGAAAAGACTGTGACCGGTAAGACGTCACAAGTTACTCGGCTCAGAAGACGTGTGTCACGCTGAACTTAAACGTTTACGTGATCGGTATTTTGTTTACAATCGTTTTTAAGGGTAGTAATTTTTTATGTGATAGGGTGAAATGAGAAAAATCCAGTCTGTGCGGAAATTGACCAGTATGATATTGATTATGTATTTGAACAGTTAAATTCACGACGAGGTTATGTGAGCTAGATCAAAGGTGCTGGGTTGCATTTCGTAATTCGGGATGAAGGATGCGCGCTGCTGAGTAGGAGTTGCATACTAGGACGAAACGACCGTCTAGTGCTTCAGTGGTGGTTTTCTATAGTGATGATCTAGCTTAGATTGTCTTCTGAATTCAACTGTTAAAATACTACAATCTCTACAGGTCCTCTTACTGATGATAATGATAAATCGATATTAATTATATACTTCTGCAAGTATGATTGTCAACTTGACTGACTGTATATAAACTATGGAAAACGTTGTGTATGCATGCATATAAGATTTTGATTTATGTTGAGGGTGAAGTAAATCCTTATCGCCCACCAGCCGTCGTGTTTGCGGTTTTCGGTACCAAGTATAAGTCAATTAAGCATAGCCATAGACATAACAGTGACAGATGTAATAATTTCCATCTTGAATTCTTTTAATTACTAACTAATCAATTTTATCATGCTGTAATGTAATGAATATTGTAACTTTGGAAAATTTCTCAGGAAATTTTCACTGTCGGTGGTGTTGGTTGCAGTAATGTGCGTTATAGTGTTAGTCATTAGTTTTAGCCCATAGTATATCTTATTCTAGTTTCCGGACATTCCATTCTAATTGTTCTACTTGAGTCATGTTTTGACCTTGTTAATTATTCGCTTATCAGTAGTCTTGACTGTTTTTATATGAGCGTATATTTGGGTACACTTCATGTCCCATGACTCATCACATGTCTGTAGTTTATTTTGTCTGCCTATAAATATTGGGTAATGTCCGGCTTGAAATTGAGTTGGCTTCCCAGCCATCTTCCATACGTGTTATTTTTGCTTTGCTATGTTTCATTCGCTTCATGTACGAAATGTATGTATTCTCAGGTCAATCCTCGTTATTCGACTTATTTAATTCCGTTATTGGATAACGCGATTTAAGTCGACGATTACGTACGAGAATAGGCGATAACAAACATCCATACAATCATTCGTACGCTCTAAATGGAGTCAGATCAACGGGTCACAAAAGCGTCTACACGAAATGATGAACTTGATGTCAGAAGAGTAATGTGCAAAATGATTGGCAATCGATGGGCATTTTTTGCATTGATTGATATTGGTGTTACGATGGCACATAGTGGTGGATGCCTAGTGTTTGATGCCGATTTAACTTGATCCCTGAAAGACTCTGTCGTCGTCTCTCAACGCTATTGTACGGATGTTGTTGATGCAGATTGACGTGATGATTGATAACATGTGCATATGTATATATTTTAAAATATATTGTTATTCTGATGACTCGATATTTTTCGATTTGAACTGTGCTTAATTGTTTACACTGTCACTAGATAGGTAGGTAGTTAGGTGGTTAGGTTTGGTAATAGGGAGATAGATAGGCAGAAAGATCATTATTCGTTGTCTCTAGTGTCAAGTTCATCTCTCTGTTGATTCGCTTTCATTGTAGTTGCTTCAGGATTATTGATTGTATTTGGTTTATTTGGTAAGTAGTAATCTGCAAGTCACTTTAGTGACAAATTGTTTCATATCTAGTGTAGTAAAAGTAATAAAAGTAAGCCTATGAATAGAATAATAGTGGTTGGAGTTATTAAGGAAGATGAATTAGTTTAGGCAAAATAAAAGCTTAGCAAATGAATGGGTTTGGTTTATCACCTTATAGAATTGTTGTCGACCTAGTTATAGTTATTTACTGATGAGTTGTATTATAGGTATTAGGTTATCTACATCATATCTAGATGTGAATGTTTTCTTCTATCCTTACGTTTTTGTTATTGTTTTTAAAGATTCCCATACTCATATCGTCTTGTTTTATTCATCTTTTAGAAGAGATGGGTATCCGAGGGTTGTGGACGTATATAGAAAGCAGCGGTGGAAACTTATCCACGTATGAATTGCATAAGCAGCCTTTAGTTATTGATGCTGAGAACTTTGCTACCGCCTGTTATCGTGAAGCTGCTTTGCAATGTGAATTTGGTGGAGAGTATTTGGCATTTAAGAGTTATGTGCAGTCATTGTTAAAAGAGTTTAGTATCTGTGGTGTGGAGCCAATTTTCGTTTTCGGTGGATGTCATCCGAAAGAGGTATGGTATGGTGTGGTATGCTTACATTATCATAGTACTTTGTTTTTCTAACTAACTGTCTACATATTTTCGAGTTCACTTAAATGTTGAGGCATTTGTGTAGTATAGATTTTATCACTATTGTAGGTGATATCGTAATTGATTGAAGCAGTCGGTGCATCTTAGAGTAGTTTATAATTGTGTGTACGTTAAATGCCTAATAATTGATTTGATATACATAGTTCCCTTTATCATTTTGAAAAGGGGGAGGACTGAAAGATTCTAGCAGAATAACATGAATTCAGTATGGGGGTTGTGGAGATTGTTAAGGTTTTGATTGAGATCATGAATCAGTTGATGTTAGACCACCATGGGAAACCTGGAAGCACTGGACGGCCGTTTCGTCCTAGTATGGGACTCTTCAGCAGTGCGCACCCACGATCCCGCTCCCTGCGAGATTCGAACCCTGGACCTGTCGGTCTCGCGCCTAGCGCTTAACCAACTAGACCACTGAGCCGGCATCCAATGGTGCTGAAGAGTTCCATACCAGGACGAAACGGCCGTCCAGTGCTTCCAGGTTTCCAGCGGTGGTCTAACATCAATTGATTCATCATCTCAATCGAAAACATGAATTCAGTTTATTTCGTCTGGTACTCGTCAGCTCCTTACAACCTGTGATAATTCGGAATCATAATTACGTGATGAGTTTAATGGACTTACACGAGAGAGTTGGGTTGGATGGAAGTTATATTGAAGACAGATTAGTATAGTATAGTATAGCAAGGGTGTAAATAAATTGAATAGACTGAATAGAAGTGATTACATAATGAGTAAATGCTGATGATTGGAATAAAGTGAGTAGAGCTGAGTTGATATAAGAATAAGATTGTTAATTTGGAAGATAGTTGAAATACAAGTGAATGATGCAATAAATGCAAGAAAGAGTTAAACAATGATGATGATGATAATAATAATTATTATCGGATGCAGCGAAGGTATATTTGTGACCAAGGCAAGGCATGGAAAGATTAATAACCATCTCATTTTGAATTTGAATACATAAGTCAGGTTTTTGACGCATGTGATAACACGGGCTTGAGTTGAGCAAACTTGAGAAGACTGGAATTTGGCTGTTTACTTACTAATCACCTTGAAGATTGCGAGGTATCGACCTGATATCCTGTATCAAGGAGATGTTTGGTGATTGCACTGTTTAAAGTGTTTCTTTCTCTTGTTGTGAGGATTTTCGTAACATGTTCGGGAAATCTGAAATATGCCCTCCTTTCTATTCGGCCAATGTAGAGGTGTTTTGGCAGGTAGATGTAAATCTATATACAGTTGGTCAATACTACAGTTGCCTAATGAATTAAACCATGAGAAAGTGTGTTTGAAGCGCTATGGTCTGCACATAGAATGTCCCCACTTTGTTAATGTTAATGTTGCAAAATGCCAACGATTATTTTGTTTGTGTATCACGGCTTTTTCTTCAACAAGACACTAAACACTGTTTTACATTGAGACTCGAGTTATGACATCTACAAATGAAGATGTTGATGCAGTTAGTTAGTCAGTCACTTGTATATCTGGAAGTCTATTTCATTCATATGACAATAATTTGTTTATTAAGTATTCAATTTAAGAATTTTCCCAGTTGAATTCAGAAGTCAATCTAAGCTAGACCACCACCACCACCACCATTGGAAACCACGACTGAAGCACTGGACGGTTGTTTGGTCCTATTATGTGACTGACTCCTGAGCAGTGAGTGTACAAAATCAGCCAAATATTTAGTGTTATTCGAGTTTTTATACGTAGTGATAAACTTTTTAGCACCACTTGAGATATGATTTCATTATTGTCTTTCAGTTTATTGGTATATTTCTCAGAGTGATGGTCAATTATTCACGATCGAATGTGATGAATGAATAGACACATAACACCAAACATCTTTAGCCATATGTTTTTCAAGTTTGTCACATACAGTTACTCAGTTTGTGAATTAACTAATTATGTTTTTTCGCTTTGTTTAGGGAACAAAATTGGATACTTTGATGAAGCGGAACAAAGAGTACTTTAAACAACTCTCATCAGCTCTTCTGATTGCCAAGTCAACTTGCAGCACACAGTTGAACATTGATATAGCTCCACGACTTAACAGAAATGTCCTGGTTGAAATTCTGCGTGAATCTTCAATTCGATACATAGCATGTGAACGTGAAGCTGATATCAGTACAGCAGAACTTGCTGTTCATCTTCAATGTCCTGTTACCAGTAATGATTCTGATTTTTTTATTTATCGACCAAATGATAATAATCAAGTGTATAATTTTATTCCATTTTCAACTATTTCACGTTATTCTAAGAAGAGAACCGTCCCTTGTTCTATTTGTAAACGGAGTGGTGCTTCATGTTATTTCATGTCGTGTTCAATTCTTAATAATTCAGGACCGTTTTCTAAACTCAAGTATCCTATGTTACCACTTTTTGCCATTCTCGTTGGTAATGACATGATATCAAATATTCGCCTTCCAACTATCATCGACTCACTAATCCATACTTCTAAACTACAGAGGAAGTCCTACTATCAACGACGTATCGATGCTATTTTTAACTGGCTGTTAAGTTTCCGTGACATAGAAGAACCATTGTCATTGGTATTGTCACTTTACGGGGAAAACGAAAGGGATGGTATTGGAAAGACAATTCGTTTGAGGATTTCGGATTATGTTCTAAACAGTTCAGGAGAAAACCTGGCTCGTGAATTAGGCTTTTCAACTGAACACAATATCTCATCAAGTGTTTCGTTGTCAAGCAAGATGGGAAATTTGAGCATTCAGGATCCCACAACTTATCGGGGTTCTTACTGTGAAGATGCTTCCAAATTTTGTAAACCTATATTGGAGAGAAATGATGATGATGATGAAGACAGTATATTTCACCGTTGGCCGAAAGAATTGATTAGGCGATTTAGATTTCTGGACTTAATTCCATCCATGTTTGACCACATGTATGTACGAAATGGCGCTTTTTCTCGTTTACTAATGGAGGACATAAAGATTCCTAGTTCGCTTGATGAATGTATGTCGAAGATGAGAAGTGCTATAAATGGACTTATATATGGACTTGAAAACCACTTGGGCACCAATGGAAAGTTATGTGGAATGGAGAATGAGTGTGTCATTGAGTATAGAAGAAACCTGAATGGTGATTTTACGAAGACTTTAATGTCGATGAAGCCTCTGAAACCCCCTAATGCTGAAACACCTGAATTGTCGTTCTTATCTTTTTTCTCGAAATTGTTCAATGTGAATTTGGAGAAAGATTTTAAGCCTCTTGAAGTACAAGGTTTGGCTATTTTATTAGTTCTATGGTTCAGATGTTCATCTCATGCCCAAAACGAAGCTAAAAACATTAAGACATCGCCTGTTGCACTTGCGTTGTCATGTTGTACAATCGCAATGAATTCAAATCGTGAATTTCTCGGTAGAAATCGTGATGGTGATGGAGGTTTTGCTAACTCCATTCGCACACATCTCGATAAGTGTGCTGATGTGGCCAAATCAAATTGTTGTCAAGAAGTAAATAAACGTTCCTTTTGTATTGAGCAAGTTCACCAACTTAATGAATTGCAAAGTATGGCCACTGGTTTAAAGCATTTAGTTGCAATGATTGAGGTGCTTTGTCCGTTTTATATGTCAAATAGTAATAAATTTGATAGTTGTTCACATTTCCGAAATCCTTTCATAAGCTTTTATCCATTTTGGATGTTATTTGCCAGTGGACGTCTTTTATATTGGATTAGTCGACTTCTACAAAATATTGATCCATCTGAACGTTTCCATAAAGTCCTGAATGAGTGGCTTCCAAAATTGCTTATAAGGACCAATTATGGACGTGAACAAGAAGATTGCGCCTCAAAAGATCTTACCAAACTTTTCAACCTAATTGATAAGTTGAACTCTTGAGATATACTTACTCATGGTTCGGTTTCTATTATTATCAACGCTAGTATACGTTTTATTATTTCTGATAGACTGTCATTTTTAATTTATATAAACATACACAGGCAACACTTGGATGGTTTGTTGTCGAAACTTTTAACTCTCATGTCATACTTGCACATCGATTTTCCTAATAACTAGAATCATTCAAATATTTTAAATATACATTTCATCAATTCATGCTACGCCTTTATTTTTGTAAAAGTAGTAAAGATGTGAAGAACGAAAAAAGTCAGTTCCCAGAAAGACCTACTTCATATTCTATGAAAACTACTTCCCCAACTACTTGGATATAATAAATTGTTGACTATGGTGTAACTGGGCATGTTAACGCTAGCCACATTGTTAACAGTCGATACGTCTATGTATTTTGTGTTTATTACACTAGATGATTGTTTCGAAGTATTTACTGACGTTGTCTAGGTGGATGGGATGATGAATGTCTCACGACCAGACCATCGAATTCAGAGAGCACTACACCTCCGAAATGTTGATTCTGGGCAGGGCTAAAAGTACTCCGTATTACATTTGTTTCTAACTAGACTAAATGGATAGTGCAGAGTTATATGGATTTGGCTTGCTTAGGTAATTTATCTTGTATTGTATTTTGTTCGAGTTATGATAGATGAGATTATAGGTTGCGAGTTGTCTCGAGATGAAATCTGGCCCGAACTCCTCGTTTGGCTTTATATGGAGTATTCCACCACAGTTGTTTGTCCTACATGCATAATTATGCCGGCGCTAGTTGAAAGGAAACCTCAGTAACAAATAAGAAAGAGGATAGTGCTTTCCAAGAACTTATGTCTTATAGGAAAAGTCTTATAGTCTGTCGCTTGGTAGGCAAAAGACTGATATCTTCCTCATGGTTTCGCGAAAACGGTTGCGCCGCTATGTCGGTTCGCTGTCTCTGCTAAATTAAGTGATACTAGGCGGGTACAACTTCCGTCGTCCGGTAATATGTTGTCAGAGAACACCGGCATGTGTCCGTAGATTTGGTGCTTGTTACAAACTCCAAATAAGAAAATGAGCAAGATCGCAGTTAAACCCTATTCGCATCTTGTACTAGATAAGTCACTCCTAAAATCTGAGCGATAACATACTGATATTTCCAGGTTCATACAGTATTATGTACATAACGAATGCATAACTTGAAAACCAGACATCTTGTTGTATGTAAACGATGTGGCGAAATTAAATGTAACGGAACCGTGAAGTTATTGCATATGCTTCCTGTGAAATCTTTTAAGTGCCTCTAAAAGAAGATATGGGTGGAGTTTCTAAGCTGCATTGCACTTGTCTGAAGTCACTACTGGACCCTGCTAGATTGTTTTGTCCTTCTTCACGATATCAGTGAGATGTCAACTCAGGCACATACTTGAAAGAGGCGAAGGCAACACATACCAAAATACTCTAGTCGTTGGGCTAATTTCATTTTCGGCATTTAGTTTCACTCTTAATGGGAGCAAATATTTGTACGGCGTCCTTGCTACAATACCACATGTGAACACGATTATTTCAGCACCCAGAGATGATAAAAAGCAGCTGTGATTTTGGTAAGCGAATGAAATACGGAGCTTAGTTACAAATAAATAAATAACAATACAGTCAGTCAGCTGGGACATTGGACTAAGTACATTTATGCATCGGTCCGAGTTGTCACACTTCATCAGTACAAAAAGATGAACGCCAAATTCATAGTAGTTACTTCCATGGTAGTAATATATAGAAGGGAGATCGCATATAAGGATATAGTACAGGAAGAATTAGTTCGTAGAGATATAAATCAATCTTTAATCTCACGGTTTAAGGGACGGTAGAGTGTATACACCGACGTCATTGTGATCGGTTTTGAGCCATGTCACCCAGTCTCCAACCATTGGTTACGATACTCACGCGGACACTAACCAAGTTGTCTGCATCTACCAACATGGCTCAGACTAAAAGTTAGTGACTTCAAACACTGATGCCATGTTTTGATTTAACCACTCCTAAATTTCTTCCATCTGTCACCCACACTAGTCAGCATTGTGCGTCGTGCTAATCAGTGTTCAGGTGTACATGACACGTGACCCAACCATCTCAGTCGATGAAGATATACAACCTCATTAGCTGACTCACCATCATTCCCTAATACCCTGCGTCTAACCTCACTATTACTTACCCGGTGGTCCCGGAAGATGCGAGCAATATTTCTATGACACTTGTGATCAAATGCTAATAGCCTACGAGTATCTTCTACTCCTAATGACCACATTTCTCAGCCGTAAAGTAGAACAGAACGAACTGCCGAGCAGTATACTTGTCTCTTAATTGATATACAGATATCTCCTTCGCCATAGGTGACATAAATTGGCAAAAGCCAAGCGAGGTTTTCGAATCCGTGCAGAGACTTCGTCAGACACCAACATATTTGGGCTGGTCAGACTCCCAAGATAAGTGAAGTTGTCAACGCGTTCGACTACTTCACTCACGATCCTTAGTTCAGGTGTTCACGCAGGCCAGTCCTGAAGCAACAAACTGCACTTGCAAGTGAAGAAACGCATTCCAAACATTCTGGCACCGTTGCTCAGTACTACCAAAAGACTGCATTTTGTCAGCGTCTTAACCGGACAGGACTATGCCACCTGCGTCCTGGTAGGAGATCGGTGCCCGAAAATGCAGTCGACGAGAGCGTGTCCCACCAGTATGTCTACGACGAAGTTAAATAAAAATGGAAAAAGTGGGCAGTCATGACGGACACCACTTAAGGTTGCAAAAACAGATGACAGTTAGCCATAAAGTCTCACTCGACTGGTGTTCGAATAAAGGGCCTTTATTATGTTAAAGTACTTCTGGGGTACGCCTTTCAATGACAGACACTACCACAGAAACTCGCGGTCTACGGAGTCAAATGCTGCTTTCAAGTCAAGAAAGACCACCATTGTCAGGCGCTGATAAGTATGCCAGTGTTTTAGGACTTAACGAACGGCGAATATTTGGTCGATGCAGCTGTGATCAATTCTAAAGCCAGCCTGATTTTCTCGTGTTTGCAATTCACGAGTCTTTGTTAGGCGTCCAATAATTATTGAGGCCAGTATTTTAGACACCATATCAGTCAAGGTAATCCCCCTAGAGTTATCGCAGGACGATTTTGACCCAAAGTAACAATGTATGAATGGACTTAAGTGGTTTGTGACAATACAGAGAGCCAAACCTCAAGAGCAATAAATTATTAGTTCATATGAACGCGTTCAATTTTATGTACAAACTTTCTAGAATTCACTTGTAGACCACGAACGTGATATGCCACAAGAAAGAATTCAAGCTATGATACTTAGAATCATGTTGCTACCAATCACATGAGTATTGCCCTTTTGGGCAACCAAAAGACAGAACTTAGAGGTATTGACCAAGTAATCACCAGTTCCCAGCTTAGACATAATACAATGAAGTGTTTACAAATTTTATTTTACCAAGACAATAAGGCTATGTCTTCTTGGTTTTCGGGGCTGACTGTGCGGCAGGCTTCATGTTATGCATTAGTGCGCTAGCTCGACGCAGCGCCAGCTGAAAGAAACAGAACTTAGAGTATATATACGCTTACCATCTTTAGTTCTCTTCTGTATTTTTGCTTGCATGTCAAGTTCCTGATTTTTTTCAAAGTAGGCCTACGTCCGTGCACAAACTTTGTTCGTGTGACTGCTTTGGCTGGTTTATGGTCTTTTGCAACATTCTTTGTGATGACTACGACACCCTTCCCGTATTTCTCCTCCTTGATCTCGATAGCCTTCTTGTGAACAAGACCACAATACCTGAAGCAGTTTTTTCCCTTCAAGTTAAGTGGGTCACGACTAAAACGTTCGCGGCCACGTTTCATCAGGAAACAGTGGTTGTGTTTAATTAGATCCCAAACGAGGTGGCTTGACATGATTCTATGCAAACTTCCCGGGTTCCCGCCAAAAACCTTTAAACACCGCGTGTACTTGTTTCACTAGACAATGCTTTAGTGACGTGCTTGTGTAATCCGCAGTTAGACAAAGTTTGACATTACCAGTTTACTTGCCATTTACTGTGCAATCATTCGGGAGAATATCTGTGGAGGTAATGTAAAGTGAAAGATTACTACGATATACATACAGGACAGTTTATGAGCAAGCAATGAATATAAGTATTTAGTGAGGGTTGACTAGTCTTCTGTTGAATAATTCTATCTAAAAATATATTTTGTCACTTTGGTTATAATTCTGCTTCTTAGTTCTAGAAACGAACTACCGTCGAGATCTGTCAAAAAGGATCCTCAATAAACATAATAACCCAGCTATACTTGTTAGTGAAGGCAGTCGATCTGCTGATACTATAAACATTAAACTTAATGCTTAGTTTACACCAATTGCTGAGAGTTTGATGCATTTACCAATGGAAGTTGACTGATTATGTGAATCACATAACAATATATTTTCACTGGTAAATCAGTCGACACAAGTAATAGCAATAGTATTTCATCAGATTTCCTGAAAGACGGTTTTTACGCTAACTTGCCCTTCATTTTTGACTGAAGCGGAATAATTGTGCCACTAAACAGCCGAGTTAACCTCTTGCCTGATGTCTTTATATTTGGGTCGTCATATTTTGCAATGGCTTCTAGCATCATTTTCTCTATAGACTCCCAGTAGTTCTCCACTGTTAGCTTCTATCGCTCTCGTAGCCATTGATCCGGCTGAGTATATCCCGTCATTTTTGAGCATTTCTTCTTCTGTACCAAGGGCACTGAGAATTCTTGTCCCTCTAGAATATCTAGATTGGGCAATGCATAGAACAATCGTATCATGATCGTTTTAATATTATTATTATTTGTCCGTGTTTGAATGTATGAGAAAATCGCACCATTTGTCTTTATAGAACTAATCAATCAACTACAACTGTAGTATGCTATCGTGGTTCTTTGGCAAGCATTAGAGGCATGTAAATGCTCCTGCGTAATTTGTCTGTTAAAACATCAACCACTCGTAAGTATAGAAAAAAAGTAACACAAAGGCACATCTGTAACTTGCCCACTTGTTTAAGCGAGACAAGATTATCTGTCGATCATAAATTCACCTAAACTCAGCCTGGAGCCCCTCTGAGGCTACTGCCGGTCCCAAGCCCGGATAAAGGAGGCGGGTTGGGCATGGAGTTAGCGACCTCACCCCGTAAAAAACTAACTTGCTCAAAAAACGCTAACCAGAAAAAATTATTAAAACCATTTAAATTCTGCCCTGCAAGTC